GTCGAAAAATATATTCCTTCAATTTGGATGAAAATTTTAATAGCGAGCGGAATTTTGCTTTAAAAGCTATTACCTTAGGTTCTGCTTATATTCAGTTTAAGGAAATTCGATGCTGAATTTGGAGAAGATATCGTACCGATAGTTTAGAAATAAATACTGAATTATAAATTATTTAAAAAAACAAAGGGACTGTAAACCGGGAAAACAAATGATCGCGGTTTAACGTAAATATCAAATAAAATTTTCTCAAAACAATAAATTGAAAAACAAAGGGTATTAAAATCAAGAGCAATGAGTACACTGTCTTTCTACATTTTTACTTATCATATGGCATGATTTGTTTGTTTTAAGGATATTTATAAAATTAACCAACCCAATTGACCAACCCCTAATATGTCCACGATGAAATTGCCACACTATGAAATTGCTCTAACTTTTTAACCGTTGGGTAGAATTTAATGAAAATTTGGGTGGATTTAGTTCATAGTGCATTATTTACATCCTGCAAGTTTTAAAGTCCTGTGATCAAAACTCGCGGAAATGGAGTCGAAAGAACAGCTCGTGCGTGATAAAATCTTGCGCATTCATCACGAGAACAAGGATCTCTAGCATCGTTCCATCGCTAAAACGTTGGGAATCGCGAATTCCACGGTGTCGCGAGTGATTAAGCGGTTCGAGGAACGGTTGAACACCGATCGGAAGCCCAGAAGTGAAGGAAAAAGTATTCCGTACAACACCAAAAATCACAACCGCGTAGTTGGGGCCTTCAACCGAAATCCGAACGCCTCCGTTAGGGATGTGGCTAAGAAGCTGCACCTAAGCCGAAGTTTTGTCCAGAAGGCCAAAACTAAGGCTGGGCTTCGAACGTTCAAGGTACAAAAGGCCCCTAATCGCGACGAGAAGCAGAACAAGTCCGCCAAAACCCGTGCCAGGAAGTTGTACCTCAACATGCTGACGAAAGTTGAATGCTGCATCATGCCGACTTCAAACAGATCCCCGGCAACCTGTTTTTCACGGCCAAGGATAAGTTCAGCGTTCCGGAGCATGTCCGCACTCAGAAGATGTCCAAATTTGCGAAGAAATTCCTGGTTTGGCAAGCCATTTGCACGTGCGGGAAGCGGAGTGCACCTTTCGTGACCCAGGACACGATGAACGGACAGGTGTACATAAAAGAGTGCCTCCAGAAGCGGCTGCTTCCTCTCCTGAAGGCCCACAACGTCCCAACAATCTTCTGGCCGGATTTGGCCTCATGCCACTACTCCAAGGACGTGCTGAAGTGGTATGCGGACAATAAGGTCAATTTCGTGCCGAAAATGTTCAACCCTCCCAACACTCCGGAGCTCCGCCCCACCGAGAAGTACTGGGCGATTATGAAGCAGCACCTTCTTAAACGGCCTAAGGTAGTGAAGACAGTCGAGGAACTGAAGAAAGTATGGGTTTACATGCAAAAAACGGTTGATTCACAGGTTGTGCAGAATCTTATGGCCGGGGTTAAGGCCAAGGTGCGGGCATTTGCGTATGGACTGTAAATAAAATACGAGTAAAATGGTAAAATGAAGTTTAATAGTTATTTCTCAATCCCTGAAAATTTGATGGCAATCGGATGAAAACTCGAATTTTGCGAATCAATTTTGTGTGTGGCAATTTCATCGTGGACACCCTTTACTCAGTGAATTTCAAATAGATGTCCTTTATAAATATAGGTTTCTTGAATTCAAACTAGAAGCTAATCAATAACGATGAGGGCTCACTTATCGCGATTGCTCATTACAGCTAAAATCGCTTATTGTGGCCCTCTGAAAGCAAAATTGACAGGTTTGATGTGTCATACTCAAAATTTACCTACTCTTCCTGCAGCTTACAAATAAATAGTATCGTTATAATATATCATAATTTCATAATTCCAATAAATAACACTTTAGTTGTAAGGAGCGATTGCAACACTGTCTAAAACAAACCAGCAGAGGAATTCTAAAGTTTGAGAATAGCTTCCCTCAAGAACAATATGGCCAAGGAATAAGTCCTAGCTCAGGTCACGCTGAGTCCCCAGGTTTCTCTTCATAAGGGTTCAAAGTTGGTCGGGTTTATGCCAGCTGCAGCGATACCTTCTTTAAGCAAAATCAGTTCCCGTGTCCTACGAACGCAAAACGTTTCATGGCTGATCGTGATGAGGTTTCGTTCAAAGCCACTATGTCGGCCGTTCAAGACATCTCTAAGAAGTGCAAGCCGCTACCGCTCTACACATTGAAATTCGTGCCAATCGTGGGTACCGCGCTCATAGCGAATTCGTGTATTATCAGGGTAGGAACCAGTTGCGAAACCGAACTTTTGGTCAGTGCGAACCAAACTGACGTTTGTCAGAAAACAAGCAGCCCCAATCTTGATACCCGATCCAGGTTGGAACTGAATAATAAACAAATTCATTATAAGACTGCTGGAACAGGTATTCAGTCCGTACTAAATGCCCTGGCCCATTCTTCGATGAAGATTGGCTCTACTGAAGATTGGCTCCGTATCTCAAAAGTCAAGGACAACAAGGAGCAACAGGTGCATACTTGGAGGTGAGAAAATTCAAGAGGAGTTATCGTCGTCGTCAAGAAACAAATAAGTGAGAGTACGTTTTTCTCATCATGCAGGTATTCGTCTTCAAGATCCTAACCACTGTCAAGACCAAAATATTAACCACCATATTTGTTCTACGCTAGCTGGCCAAAATTCGATTTCTCAAAATAAGCCAAAACAGATTATGAATGCATGCATTGTATACTTCAGAGATAGGGTAACATTGCCCGGTACTCATTATTTCTTTTTCTAAACTGACCGCGTTGTGGCATCAGTTCAAACTTGCCTGTTGTTGAATCGTGTTGGTTTGTTAGAATAAATCGTTCCGTAGTGCCATTGTTTTCGTGTCTCTACTTATTGTTGGGATAATCACATTAATTTGCAATCATGGATAGTGATCAAGCAGGTATTGCAATATGTATTCCACATGACATCAGCTGATTTCACTTAGTTTTGACTTCGTAGAAGCAGTTTATGAAAATCTTGTCTTCAAGTGCTATTTGAACTATAAAATAAATGTATCGTGATAAAAAAGTTGACTTATCCTGTAATATCCTGTAAAGCCGTATATGAGGTATTATATGTACATATGTATAGAAGATTATAGCAAAAAATCTGCTGCGATTATTTGCGATCTTTCGAGAAATTTGAAAATGAAGGTGAATTTATCAAACAAAGTATCCAAATGCATTTATTGACATTTTCATTCATTATACGGCGGTCAAGGCCTTGTTTTGGGAGCGGGAAGGGGGGGGGGGGGGGTTGCCTTTCAGGTATATTTTTCTTGTTTCATAATTCCATCAGGTGCATGTGGATATGGATTCTGATACGAGCGTGTTCCACAGTTGAGAATAGTTTGTGGATCCAATGCAAACATAGTTTGGCAAAACCCAACTCCATCTTCACCTCGCTACTGTCGCCCAATCCACATTAATTTTATCAATGAATGATCTGAGCTAATCAATGAAGAGATCAGATATATTAAAAATGCAATTAATTCGCTACGGTCAACAAAAGTTACATTAAATGGCAAGCAGTTCACTATTAGACATACTTTTATGCTCACTATGGTTGATGGGAAAGTGTGTAATGCAGCAGCTGAAACGACATCAACGATGAAATGTTATGTATGTGGCGCAAGTTCAAAGGAATTCAATAATCTTGGAGGAAATTAACACTCTCTCTTAAATTCTGATTATCCATTTTTCATGCCAGGATTCGTATTTTCGAGACAATTTTACATCTTTCTCACAAGTTGCCGATCAAAAAATGGCGGTTAACTGGCAATGAAAAGCAAATCGTCAAAGAAAAAAAAAACACACGTTCAAGAAAACTTCAGAAAGAAATTTGGACTCCTTGTGGATTTTCCAAAACCAGGCTTTGGGAATTCGGATGGCAACACTAGTATAAGATTCTTTGCTGATCCGGAAACCGCTGCTCAAATAACAGGTTTGATCTTAATTTGATCTACCGGCTTAAAGTTATATTCGAGACACTAGCTAGTGGGTTTAAAACTTATACGGAAAAGTTTGAAACATTTACTCAAGAAACAGCGGAGACATACGTTCGACTGTATACATGGTATCCGATAACTCCAATTTTAATCCACAGTTATAGAACATGCATTGCTACCAATAGGGCAGTTGTCAGAAGAAGCTATACAACATGGATGTACTGAATAGACTGCTGCTTAGTTCTGATCCTGAAATCACAGGTAAACAACGTATAGATTATCATACGTGAAAGTAAATAAATATTCTTTTAGGCTTAATAAAAATACCGCGAAAAAAGTCAAGGGTTTTGACGACAGAAACATTGCAAATGTTACTCTCAGAAGACTCCATGCAAGAAAGCCAAGATTGGCTGGAAAAATGAGAGATGGAAGAAACATGAAATAGACGTTTCTAATGAACAAGAAAATGTATTTTCACATGCGGAATGAGGTATTTTTTGTTTAATTTAATTTTTTTACTTGTTGTTTTGAATTGTTAAATATTTTGTTGCTTCAGCATATTTGTGGTTCCGTGTCAAAATTTCAGCTCAATTGATCATAACAGAACAAAGTTATAACATGTCAAATTCGGCAAATTTGTAAACAAAGTTCGCTCTTTCGTGCTTTTTTATTAACCGCAGGTGTAAGTGTATTTTTATATTTTTTATTTGAAAGTATTATTAGCTCCCAACATTTCATCCTTTGCCGGTAACTAAATCCGAACAATACTTAACGACTTACAAGTTAAAAAAAAAAAACATAATTATAACATGACCCTCCCCCCCTCCAAAACATGACTCCACCCTTTTTTGACCAAACAATTTAATTGTCCTTGAATAATAAGATGTATGTGACAAGTTAGAGTGGTTAAATATTTTTGGCCAGCTAGAATTAATAAATACCCCACTGTGCACCGTCAGCTGATGTACTTCTCATACTTTCAGTGTTAGCTGGCGTTGCTAGATCGCTGCTCTTCTGTCCATTTACGCTGCAACTCTGACATAATCTGCGTGACTGCCTTGCTGACGGCATTCCAAGTGTTCTTCTCTCGACACATTTCAACGACGACATTCTCCTCGTGAAAGACGGACATCTCCCTTCGCACTGACTCGAACCTTGGACAGTGAAAGACCACATGCTCCGGCGTTTCATTTCTCCGGACAGAGGGGTGACGCTGCGTGTCCGAACCGATCCAGGTATTTCCTAAAGCAGCCGTGACCACTAATCGCCTGTAGCACTCGCTGTCCTCTGCCAGGGTGATGCCGATTGCGATCATTCCGGTGATAACGCATACTGCTTCTGACGAGATGGTTCTGTACTCACTCACGACTTTGGTTCTGCTTCGTTTCCAGCGCTGCTACCCATGCTGGACCTCCATACTTCAGTATCGACGACACACTGGCCAGAAGACGCCTCTTGCTTCTGCTGGGACCAGAGTTGTTCGGCATGATTATAGCTATCGCGTTGATGGCCTTCGAAGCCTTCTCACAGGCATATTTGACGTGGCTGTTGAAGTTTAGCCCGTAATCTGTTATCGATCATCACTGTGATTCTAATCGATCTCTGTCCCATGTGTATCTTGTAGACCAGAACTCACTCTGGAAGTAACTCATTCTTTGCAACGCACAGTGGTGCCGAAGGTATTAAAACACACGCTTTTTTATTTACGCTGAAATGGTTGATTAAAGGTACTAGGTGTCTTCTGAGAAGTTTCTTGATTAACAACATTCCTTATTATGGTAAAATAAAATTAAAGATTAATCCACCTAAAAGTGAGATGCAAAATTTTTTTTTTTAATATAATGAGATACAAAACAATTGTGTTGGGCAAAGCTATAGAAAACATTACTGTAAACAACTTTGCTCAAGACTTTAACCTTCTAGCTCTTATAACTGCTGAGATATGAACGTTTTTTTTGTGGAGACATTGTTAAAATCAGTTTTGTATCTGTAACTTTTTCTACAATATTTCTACATGTTTGGCATGTTGAACAAAGATGTTAGAAATATAAAATTACATATATTTTCAGAACGCTGAAAATTGCTATCATTGGTATTTGAAAAGTAATTTAAATTTTTTGGTTGAAAATAATCCAACTTCCAGTACCACTAACTTCTAAACGGGCAAAAACGAGCAGGCCATTCGTTGAGCAATTGAAAGTACAAGAAAATGTAATAAAACGGCGAAGCAACCAGACCGCCCCCACGTGACCCTTAACCGTAATACTTGCGTTGAAACTTGTCACTTCTCAGAATTTGAAATGGCGATTTTGTGATCATCGGACTGCTATCGAGTAGGTGTGAAAAGAGGCATACAGATGGATAACCAACCAGCCTGAGTTATTTCTAGTGACTCACAAAATGACTCGGGATCAAAACTTGGAATAACACACAGCTAATACGTTAATCTATCGATGCAAAATAATATTGGAGGCGATGGCATCAGGTAATCATCAGGTTACAGATACAAAACCCAACGATGTCTCCACAAAAAAAAAAAAACTTTATATCTCAGCAGTTATAAGAGCTAGAAAGTTAAAGTCTTGAGCAAAGTTGTTCACAGTAATGTTCTATACAGCTTTATGGAACACAATTATTTTGTATATCATCATATAAAACAAAATTGCATATTACTTTTAGGTGGATTAATCTTTATTTTTCTTTTACCATATGAAGAAATGTTGTAACTTAAGAAACTTCTAAGAAATCACCTAGTACCTTTAATCAACAATTTCAGCGTAAATAAAAAAGCGCCTGTTTTGATACCTTTGGCACTTCGGCGAGGGCCTCCTAACTGGCGCTGTTGCGCGCATTATTCACGTCGATTGTTATTACGGTACAATATAGATCTCTTTTCGCTTCTGTTTGGACGCCTTCTCGGCTCTCATGACCACTGTCCGAATTGCACCCACCGTTGGCGTTGTCTCCCTTTTTGGAATCCAGCGGCATCTGCGACAGACAATCCGTGCTCACTCTCCGTGTATTTCGTTAAACTGTTGAATACCTTTGCATGAGTTTTCCAAGTGTATCCAGCAGGTATATAAGGTTTCTGTATCTTCCACCTGTCAGAGAAGTGACCCTTGTCCAGGCATTTCTGTTGCACCATTCTGAACATGTCCGGGGACACCTGGATCGCCGCTTGCAACGTCACGTTGGGGATTCCATTTAGACCGGGAGCTTTCTTTACCTTCAATCCTTTCGCCACTGCTACGAGTTTCTCGTTCATGTCTTCGGCGTTATCTCCCTCTCTCTCTCTACGTACGGTGAAGGTGGCCAGGTCGTTGAGTCGTGTTTCGGGAAATAACAACGATAAATTTCAGCTTCTCTGGGGTCATTTCAGTGGGCATCAGCGTCTCGACACAACTCCTTAAAATAGTTTGACTTGCTCTGCTTTATCTTTCGTTTAAGTGCGGCCCTAGCTGCTTGGAACACTCCTCCACGTTCCTCTCTGTCTGCTCCTGTTCTTGCTCTCTGAACATCCCAAGTAACCAACAAGCCCGCTAATTCGCCTTCGGCTGATACACTGCTAACATAGGGCATGCTAAGCTTTATATTAGACGCATATTAGCCTTATATTGCGCATTAGCGGGCTTGTAGGTTACTTGGGATGTCTTCTGGCTCTGAGACAACTAGCGTGAAAGATGCTATGTGCCGTGTTCCACCAGTAAGCAAGAAGCCGTCTGACTCCAGTTTCCTCGGCATGATCGTGTCACATGCTATTACTAGCGTTTCTGTCAGCTCGCCCGGGTGATGGATTTTTGCAGAAAAACCAGAAATTTCTTGAGATTGGAAACATATTGTTTAGTAATTTTAAAGAAATAGTTCGAATTTAGTGATACTTTGTTTAACTATGAAGGCCAATTTAAAGCTAATGACAATAGTCCATGCATGCAGTCCTATAATCGTTTGCTTAAATAATGATATTGTATGCAATTGAACGTTAGTAACATAAACGTGTAATCGTAAGAGTCCCTTGCTGAAACGCTACGAATTTTTTTTTTATATCTATCACCGAAAAGTTTCTACGGGACAGCTTAAAACGGAAGGCATGATAAACTTCACCTGGTGATCAATTTGCCCCTGGATTACCGTACTAAAATTATTGCAGGTTTCCATGTTATACTGATAAAAAAACATTATCTGATATAGGATAATGTCCGAAAAAACATACTGCAATAACAATCGGTCACATGTATTTACGTATTTCACAAAGTTTCCTACCGCAATAACGTAGCACTCGCCAGAGTGATTTCTATTAAGCCATGCTTTCATTGCGCCCGGTCAGATCCCTGTTTCCCACTGCTGGGATGACATCCTCATTGCTCGTTCATGGCCGCCGCCAGACGCTCGGATAAAGAGAGAGAATGCATTCTACCTGTATTTCCCTTGGCGACCCATTCATCATTTTCCAGCGTTGTTATTTCTACCGCTTCTATTTCTCTCAAACATCACAACTCACCCCCCGGCCAGCGAACATCACAAGTCACTGCAGGAGGTGACCCGCTGTGAGAAGCTTTAAAAAAAAAAACTACGTTCTCTTTTTTATCTCGCTACGGAACTGACCTACCGGTCCCGTAAACCGGGTTTCCTTCTTCCCTACTTGCCCAGTACAATCCTGCTCATACACCCACACGTACCAGCTGGCATATCCTCCGTATTGTGGGTCGTTCCTCGGGGGTTGTTTCTGTTGTCTCTTTACCTGGTCGGTCCCTCAGCATCTACTCGTCTCTCTTCAGCCGGTGTGCCACCAGACAACAGTTTCTCATAAAACCATTGAAACAGAGAAGCACGCCGCTTCACCCATACAACAGCTCTGTGATATAATTTCCCCCCACTACCAGCAACATAAGGTACAGAAAGCCTACTCATTTTGCATCGTTGTGTACAAATTCCGGATGAAATAGACCTTCCGGTGAGCCGGTTAAGCTCGGTCGGGATGCATAACACAAGCAGCTTTTTAAACGGACTAATTAATCTTTTTATTCTGTGTTCATTTCGTACGTTCACATGTCAATTACTCGAGAGAAATTGCCTAAAGCCATAGTTCGACGAGTGTAGCAGTTACGATTGGTTGACGGCTTAATCAGTAGCAAAGCAAATACTATAAGAGCAAGCATTATCATTTTCCCGTCATTCACTCTTTGCTCGACTGTTGAGCTGTTCAGTTCGTTTTCTTTTTCGCTCGAGTTCTCGCTTCGATTCGGTTTGTGCTGTCGCGTTGCGCCGTGGAAGCGTCGCCACCTTCGCGCGTTCTGGCAAGTTTACTGCAAATTGCCAACACGAAACAAATGGTGCGTAAACGTACCAATGATTCAGCAGCGGGCCCTTCAAAGAAGGTGGTAATCCAGCACAGCGAGTCGCAGGATGACGCCGGAAAACGGGTACTGCAAGCCAACCAGTTTGCGGTGCTCCCCGAAGAAAATGGCGATGGTGACGTCGTTCCCATCGCTGCAAGAGAGCGGATTCCCCCGCTTTTCACGCCGGAGAAGGATGTTGCCAAGCTGCGTGCCGAACTGGCAAAACACAAGCTGCTGCCTCGCTTCAAGCTTTGCAGCATCGGCACCAAAATCATGTGCTCCAGCCTGGAGGAGTACAATCAAACAGGATGTTTCCTAAAGGAAAACAACGTTGACTTCTTCACGCACGATCTGCCATCGAGCAAGCCACTGAAGCTGGTATTGCGTGGATTACCGTCGTTCGAGGCGGCTGTGGTTAAATCCGAGCTGGAGTGGCTTGGGCTCAAACCTGAGGCGGTGTTCCCAATAAACCGGCGTTCCAACCACAACACCAGCTTCCGTGACCAGTTGTTCCTGGTGCACTTCACGAAGGGATCCACCAGTCTAGCGGCTCTGAGATCCAAAATCCGGGACCTGTTTCAGGTCATCATCAGTTGGGAGCATTACAAATCCCAACATCGTGATGTTACGCAGTGTATGAACTGCTTCTCCTACGGCCATGGCACCAAAAACTGCCATATGAAGACTATCTGCGGCAAGTGTGCTGGAACTCACTCGACTGCGTCCTGTGAGCAAGATGATGACATCGAGCCAACGTGTGTCAACTGCGGTGGTAACCACCAAGCCTCCAATCGCGGATGTCCCAAGCGAGTGGAGTTCATCAATATCCGTCGGAAGGCTACGATCAATAATCAGCCCGCCCAAGTAACTAAAAGTTCTGATAAAAGGCTATTTGTGGCTTAAGCAGCTTGGTTGGGGGTGGTCTATAGAATTCTAAGCAGCCTCATTTTTAAGTCGTCATAAGAACTTGAAAGTTCCGGTATTATAATTGAAGAGCATTCTAAGCAGCTTCTGGCGGAACTTGAACGGAACTTTTAGAAAAAAAAAAATTAAAAATGGTTTTTGTCCTTAACACCAAAAATCCATATTTAGAGTTCGCACTTTTATGAAAGTTATTTCTAAAGGCAGGTATTAATGTGTTTTGATTTATCAGCATTAGTAGTAGAATTGGGAGCTGTTTGAAGAATTTAACCCAGTTCTTCTCTGCGTGAGAGCCCCAGCACGAACCGCTGCGTCATCTGAGATATAATAAAGTGAATTGTTGTCTCGCCTACTGTTGGAGTTTTCAGTGCCAGCTGACTGACTTGAATACGAAA